ATTCATTTTGCTTTAGGGAGGAAGGATGTGTTCTAGCTGCAGAGAAAGTAAACATGCACTTATAATTACATAACACTAAGCCAGCTAACTAGGGGTTTTAAAAATAAAAATTTCCCTTTTTTTTAAAAATAAAATTTTTCCCCCCTCTTTGTGAATGACTGTTCATTTCAAAAATTTCCATTGCAGTGTTAAGACTCACATTCTTAAGCTTTTGACAGACTCAACAAACAAAAGAGATTTAGGGGAATGAGCTGACCAGCTGTCCAGAGTTTCCTGAGCTTTCAGTAAAGAAGACAAATAAAATTATCTTTAACTATGTTATCAGGGCTGCATGTGAATACCCATATGTACCAGATTTTAGATCAACCATTTAAAACTCCAATAGAAGATTCTGATGCTGTAACAGAACGTTAGAAAGTGACAGCACAACAGATTTAATATTTTATTATTTATTTATTTTTAAATATATTTTATTGATTATGCGATTACAGTTGTCCCCCCTTTGTTTCCCTCTGCCCTGCACACCTTCTCCCATCTGCTTTCCCTGCTTTTGTTCTTGTTTATTGGTTGAACATGTAAGCTCTTTGATTTCTACATTTCCTATACTATTCTTAAGCTCCCCCTATTTTCTACCTTCCATTTATGCTACTATTCTCTGCGCCTTTTTCCCCCATTCTCCCCCTCGCCACCTGCTGCTGATAACACTCCATGTGATCGCCATTTCTGTGATTTTGTTCCTGTTCTAGTTGTTTGCTTAGCTAGTTTTTGTTTTTGTTTTTGTTTTTTTTAGGTTCAGTTGTTAATAGCTGTGAGTTTGTTGTCATTTTACTGTTTATATTTTTATCTTCTTTTTCTTAGATAAGTCCCTTTAATATTTTATAATAAGGGCTAGGTGATGATGAACTCCTTTAACTTGACCTTCTCTGGGAAGCATTTTATCTGCCCTTTCATTCTAAATGATAGCTTTGCTGGATAGGGTAATCTTGGATGTAGGTCCTTGCCTTTCATGACTTCAAATACTTCTTTCCAGCCCCTTCTTGACTACAAGGTTTCTTTTGAGAAATCAGCTGATAGTCTTATGGGAACTCCTTTGTAGGTAACTGTCTCCTTTTAGCTTGTTGCTTTTAAGATTCTCTCCTTATCTTTAATCTTGGCTAATGTAATTATGATGTACCTTAGTGTGTGCTTCCTGAGGTCCAACTTCTTTGGGACTATCTGAGCTTCCTGGTCTTCCTGAAAGTGTATTTCCTTTGCCAGATTGGGGAAATTCTCCTTCATTATTTTTTCAACTAAGTTTTCAATTTCTTGTTCTTCCTCTTTTCCTTCTGGCACCCCTATGATTTGGATGTTGGAACATTTAAAGTTGTCCCAGAGCTTCCCAAGCCTCTCCTCATTTTTTTGAATTCTTGTTTCTTCATTCTGTTCTGGTTGAATGTTTCTTTCTTCCTTCCAGTCCAAACCATTGATATGAGTCCCAGTTTCCTTCCTGTCACTGTTGGTTTCCTGTACTTTTTCCTTTATTTCACTTTTCATAGGCTTCACTTTTTCCTCTATTTTGTGACTATAATTAGCCAATTCTGTGAGCATCCTGATTACCAGTGTTTTGAACTATGCATCTGATAGGCTGGCTAGCTCTTCGTCACTTAGTTGTATTTTTTGTGGAGCTTTAATTTGTTCTTTCATTTGAGCCTTTTTTTTTTTTGTCTCAGCATGCCTGTTACATAGTAAGGGGAAGAGTCTTAGGTGTTTACCATGGCAAGGCAACCCATGATGGCTGTGTTGTGACGCTGTATGTCAGAAAGGGGTCTGAGAGGGAACAATGCCACTGTTCAGCTCTCTGCTGGATTTCAGTCACTTCTCCCACTACCCACAATCAAATTGGGCCCTTCTGGTGCTGACTCCCTGGGTGGGTGGGCTTGTGTACGTTCTAGGACTCTGTGGGTCTCTCCAACAAACTCTCCAGTGAGGCTGGGAGTTTCTTCTGCTGCCACCACAACCCCCACAGGTGTTTTCAATCAGAGGTTTAAAGCTTTATTTCCCCGCTGGGGCCCTGGGTTGCATGGTCTGTCCTGCTTCCCAGTTGTTCCTCCCAGTTTATCCGCACGTGAATGTGGAACCATCTGGTCTGCCAGCTGCCATCTTGCGGTGAGTCCTCTCCACCCAGCTGTCTGTCTCCACTCCTCCTTCTGGTCTGGGTGAATGTTTCTTTTTTAACTCCTTGGTTGTTGGACTTCCATACAGTCCAATTTCATGGCAGTTCTGGTTTTTTGTTTTTTGTTTTTAAATTTGTTGTTGTCCTTCTTTTGGTTGTGTGAGGAAATGAAGTGTATCTACCTAGGCCTCCATTTTAGCTGGAAGAGATTTAATATTTTAAATATTGTCACTCCTAAGATGGTGGTCTATCAGGGCTGGCATGGAGGGACAAAAGATGAAACTATCTCCCTCAAAATCTTTCTTTGCTACTGTTGAGGACCATAACTACAAAGCTGGTAGTCAAGAAACAGGACGAGAGAGATGTGGATAATTTCTCGGGTGGATTTCTCTACATGTGTCGCTCTTGATTGCACCAGATGTCTGACAGAGACACATAATGGCCACTTTCACATAATGCCTTTGTTTTAACTGTTTTCCTCATTGAGCTCTTGAGTCAACAGAGATGGGTTTTAATTCCATCTCTGCCACTTCCTAGCTTTAAATACCCCTGAGTAAGATACTAGATTCCTCTGGGCCTCCTTTTTCTCATCTGTAAAATGGGAACAGTAGTTATGCTTTCTTCTTTAGGGTTGCTCTGAGGATGAAATGAACTAATGTGTGTGTAAAGCACAATGCCCGGCACACCGTGAGGTCTAGAATTTAATTCTACAAGTATTTACCAAGTGCCAATTACACAGAGGCACTATGCTAGGTACTGGAGATTTAATTCTTAAAATGTCAGTTCCTTGTTATATTTTCTTACGACTATTACTATTTTCTCCCTGGACTGTGCCAACCAACCAGATAGCTTCCTTCTCAAAATCTGCAGCATGCCCACCTCAAATGCGACTCTTCAGTTTTCTAATATGCACTGCCTTCTTCTTGAATTGTGTCATGTGTGAATATCTGGTCACACTCCGGGAGAGCACAAGCTTCTTAAATGGAAGAAATCAGAGTAGGCATATCACAGAGCAGATGTTGGAAAATGTGGGTCATAAACACATCTCTGCTGATGTTACCTGCACCCCCTTGGACAAATCATGGAAGGCATGCGAGTCTCATCCGTAGATTGGTAGAGCTAGTTATGAGTATTTCATTCCTTCCCAATTCTAACCTAAATTGATTTGTTTTGATTTACTGTTAGTGAACATAATCTAAGTCATCAGTGTGCTCTTACTAAAGACATCAAAATAAATGCATGAGTTCCAACTTAGAAGATTTGGATTAATGATATTTTTTGCCTCTTCATATATGTCTTGTGATATGAGTCTTTCCTGATAGGCTGCCATCTATTCAGGATTTTTCAACAGCAAGTAAAAATGAGTCTTTTCAAAAAACAGACTATATCATTTAACTATATTATTTAACTATATTATCAAATGTACACTCAAGTATGCTGACTACGTCATCAAAGTTTTCCACCTTTTCTGAGAAAAGAGATTGTGAAACACAGAAACAATGGGTATTTCAGGAAAGACATATGAACAGGACTCAAATGCACCCTAAAGATATGATAATATTTTGCTTTTAAACCAAACAACAAAAACAACAATGACATCCTATGGGCTAGGAGAATGTTTCAAATGACAGAAAGTCACTTTATTTGAACTTTCCATGTGGATTTAGTTTTCATCTTTAAACAGATCACTTCCCTAAAATTTTCAGTGTCACTTCCACATTCCCATGAAATCTACCAACCCACCAGCCTCAGAGGCATTAACTCTGCCCACCCTCCTGTAACAAGGGGCAAACTTCGGTCCTCCAGAGCAAACACCAAAGCCTGTGATGGTATCTATGCACTGGATGCCATGCCTCTCCGCTAGTCAAAGAAAGGGCTCCAGCAAGAGCTGCCCCACCCAACCAACCTTCCCCTTCTGCTAGACCATTTCTCAAAGGCTCTTCCTGATTCCACGGCTTCCCCCAGCCACCACCCCATTTCTCTGCTTCCTTTCAATATCAGCTCCTCAAACAGCTGCCTATATACTCTTATAGTTAGTTCAGGAGCCTCCTGAGGTTTAGAAAGATTAATTTATCTACACAGTGATTTACCTAAGCATTAAGATCAGAATATGGGCATAAAATTTAGTTTCTGATGATACCAAATGACAACTCTTTTCCCATTAATAATAACAAAAGAAAATCCCATTTGCAAACAATATTTAGAGAGCAATTTATGGGATATTAAGTGTTTCCACGTGCATTTCTCATCTGTTTCTTATAATACCCCTGCAGTTTGGTAAGCTGTCACATCTCCATCTTATTAATGAGGGAACTCAGGCCCAGGCTGTTCGGGTGGTAACCTGCCAGGCAAGGGGGCCCAGCACAGTGGCTGTGAACATAGATTCTGCAGTGGGGTTCTCTGGGTGTGGACCCTGCCTCTGCCAGCTGATGTCTGTGTGACTGTGAAAAGGAACTTCATCTATTTCTGCTTAGTTTCTTGTGTGTTCCTTGGTTCCTTGAGTTGTCCAGATGTTTAACTTGATTTAAATATTAGTGGGATACTTGGAACCTGCAACTGACACACAGTCAGTTTTAAGATTGGTTAACCTTACTAAGTGTCCAGTGGTAGACCAGCACTGTACTAGTTTTGTAAACAGAAGTTCAGGGACTCGCCCACTAGATAAACTGGCCCCAACAAACCCTCATCTTAGCTCATAACTCAAATAATATATGACAGCCAATCATTAGTATGTGAACTAAAAAGAGTGAGCAAAAAATATCAGAATACATTTTGGATCCTGGAGAATAATTACTTAGAAAAACAACAACTACTGAAAGTATACCACGGGTTTTCTGATTGAACTTACCTTCTGTGACATTCCCAGCTTCAATGTAGGGAGTAGGAACTAGTGGCTGCCTTGCGTCTCCCTCTTTAGGCACAGAACCAAAGATATTTCTGAGCATGAACTGAAGCAGCCCACTGCCACAAGGGTGGAGCATTAGCAGGATCAACAAAATAGCCTTCTTCCACATGGCACCGGCCAGATGCTCTCAGCCTAGGATGAAAACAGTAACAGTCCTCATGAATCAGAAGAGTAAATAGTTCCCTAGCCTTTTTACATGCAAGACAGTAATTTATTCACTCAAAGAAAACTTTGTGTGTAAAGGTCCTTTGCTAAGCACCTTGGATACCACCTAACTAAAACAGACTCAATCCCTGCTCACTCTCAAATTAACAGTCTACTGGGGGGCTGGGTTATGCAAGAGATTTACTATTTAACTGGAGAAACAATTTGTATTTCTAATACTATGGTCTGGAAAGCAAATTCAACAGAGGATTAAAGTCTCAAGACAACAAAGGCTCTGTAATTAATCACGAAAAGAGTGATCGTGACAGTTTACCCACTATGGGAAGACCGAGGATAGAGAACACATTTCGGGCTGAGGGAAGTGAGGAAAGCCTTAGCAAGCTCAGGTGTGACAGGAAGGCAGGTGGGCCTCAGAGAGGCAGGAGAAATGGGGTAGACACCACCAGTGGGAGGAATATTGTGAGCAATGGTGGGACCTTTGCAGGGAAATTTAAAATCAACAAAACGGGTTTCTTATTCCCTCTGCCATCTCTTACAAAGTCAGTCACCCTTGTATTCAAAAACCAAAAAAGAGAAAAGGAAGAGAGGGAGGATTCCACAACTATCTTCAGGTCCCTGTCCCTTGGCTTCAAACTTGATTCACACAAATTTCCAAGGTTCTTCCAATCTGATGTTTGCTTTCAGTGTTCATGTGGGCTGATAATAATAATGGCCTAAAATTGTATGATGATTTCCCTAACTTGTAAATAAACATGTCAATTGTATTTACAATGGGCTTCCTTTTGCATTTTTAGCTGATTTGATCTCTTAATAACTTCACCGGGAGAGCGAGGATCATTATCACCAGTGTTATTTAAGATAATGTGACTCCAGAGTGTGCCTCACGCACGGTGTGAGAGTGGAGGAATCAGAACTCGAACTCACCCAGGGTCAGGATGAGGGAATGAATTGAGTCTGGTAGCAATGCAGGGTCCAATCTCATCTCTTTTCTAAAATTTTGATATTGTTTTCAAAAAGGGTTTTTTGAAAACAATGAAGAAAAAAATGAAGGGGGCCTTCATTTTTATTCTTTTCAAATAGTGTATTCAAACACCATTTATCTTGATGACTGAGGTTTCCTGGCACTGTTATTAAGTGTTTCACCCAAGGCGGGCACCTTGCTTCCTTCACCTAAATGCTGACCCTGTGAAGCATTACGATGCCCTACATCAGTGCTGGCACATGACTAGGCATCGCCACTGTTTAAGCGTGATCCAAGTTTTTGGCTCTGAAGTCTGAGTAGAATACATGAAATAAATAAATACTCCGTTCACTGAAGTTACTGGATGCAAAATGAAATATGCAATTATGCAAACAATATGCCTACCTTTTGGTGCTTTAAAATGCCAAACCATTATAACATCTTAAAAACATAACATGTGTAAAAAATCTATTACCACTTGCTTATCACAACCCAATTTGGAATAATATGAAAATGCTGGTTGTAGCAAATTTTAAAATATTTTCAAGCCACATTTCCCCAATAAGATAAAAATTTACAATTGTAATAGGATTGAATGTATAATCTTTGTATAGAATTATATATTCAACATGTAAAACACTTAATAAAGTCTCCATACTTAACTAAACAAGTCCAATCATACACAGTCTGTAGTTATAATTTGCTTTAGCCTATTATTGACTATAATTATGAACAAAATGAATTTAGAAACCGAAATTAGGTTCCCAAGAAGCCCAAGGGTAATGATCACTATGGCACTAATAAAATATTTTTAAAATTATGTGACCTTGTTATGCTGATGTTTTAATAACAGCCACTTTCAGGGAATGCTTGAAGTCAACAATCTTACTCTCTAGCTGGTTTAAAAAAATCTATGGTATTAAAACATACTGGAAGAAGCTCTTCCAGTAAAAGGTTGTTTTTCCTGGGGGCAGAAATGAGACACTAATCATGCCATCTAATTTCTCAGGCTTGCTGCTGCAAACCTCCGGCTCCCTTTAATGGAAGGCATTAATATTTGAACAACCAGGGTAGTTAGAGCCCTTCCCATGTAAGCAGATGTTGACTCAAAGATGTTAGAGAAAGGTGAAACTGTTCTCATTTTAAATGACATATCTAATTCATAAAAGTTTAGAGTTGGGTCATTTTAGCAGCCCTCATTAACATTTAATCAAACAAGTGTTAAAGTCGTGGTTTCCGGTGTAGGTGAATTAAAGCAACATTTTTCATTTCCTGGTTTTCATTGAGCAGTTGGAATTCCTAAAGTGGGCTATGCCGCCATCTCCCCTAATGAAAGGAAAACTGTTGTCATAGTTTTCTTCATGTCCTCCTCAAATGTTTTGCTTATCCTAAACTAGCCTGAATTTCTTTTACTTTTTGATCATCGAGTACTTCTAAACTAATAAACATTGTACCAGAAGCTACTATCTATAGAGGTGAAAGAAAAAATTATTCACCATATACTTTATCATATGTCTATTTGAAATAATATGAAAACATTGGCACTATTTTCAATTCAAATACATCATATCAAAGGATTCAGGCAAACTGTTCCATTTAATACACGTTTAGAAACAGAACAAAATCTAGGAATATTGGCAGAATCAAATAAGCTAAAGGTCAAAAGCATATGATTTGCTAAAACTGTCTTACTAAATATTAAATATTACAGTTGAAAACTATGTGGACAATGTATAATTTTTATATAAGCAAAGTTATTTATCACAGTGTTTTGAAGAATAATAAAAACAGTCAACAATGTAAAAACTTAAGTGAGTTCCTGTACACCAAAAAGATGAAATCATAAATTGCAATTAATATGACTGCTAATAATGCTTTGAAAAATACACGAAAATATCAGGTAAATAAAAGCAGGCTATTAAATTGGATATTGGTATTTTCTCTTCATTTAATACTTCTTAAGAATTTCTAAATTTTCTACCATTCATCTTATAGTCAGAAAAAAATAGTTTTTGGTTTTGAAGACAAAGTGAAACAGCTAATAAACATGGCAAAACAAATGCTTGTTTTTTTCTCCCTTATTACTACTGGTTAGAGCCTCTTGTGTTTCCTAGGAGTGACGTTCTGTTTGTTCTTTTACAGTAGGTTTTCCTTTTTCTGACATCCTGATCTCCTGAAGCCATAGGACCTCAGAGACTCAGAGTGTTTTTTCTTTGGTAAATAGAAGGCTCTGCATAAACGTGAGATTGCTATAATAATAGTTATTATTCCTACATTTGTGTTTAATTCTGCCAGAAATAGAGTGTATAACAGATGTCCATATAATTGGTACGAGGCAAATACTTGTTGAATGAATGGATCCAAAAAATGAATCATGATATTTTGGACCTAGATGAGATAATACATGCTCATATGGCCCAATTTTTCATCTTACCGACTAGGGAAACTGAAGCCAGAAAATTCAGTAAGTGACTTGCTTAAGATTACACCACTGGTGAGCAATAGGGCCAAGCAAGACTCAAAGCCAGGATTTGTTTATGGCTCGAGATCCATAAACTTCATTCCTCTCTCGCATCTTTGGTTACAGTTGCATTCAGATAGTCTGACTCTTATGGTCTCAACAGATAATGCAGCCTGCAGTGGTCCTAGACCCTTTCAAATACTGGTAGAGGATGTAGTAAAGTAAATAAATAAATAAAAAGAAACACCAGTGAGTAAATCTTTCCAGAGAAATTTGGTTTTTAGAAAGAGTTTGTATTGATCCAGGGTCAGCCGAGACTGATTCAGTGGGCTGTGGGCAGGACAGTGACTTCTCTGTGTCCCAGTCGGTGTGTTAGAACCAATGAGCAAATGTCCAGGAACCTGGTGAACCACTTGTTGGACATGGCCACAGTTACAAATTACACTACAAAAATTTACCATTAAATAAGTTATATTAAAAAGATGTCACACATACTCAACATTCATCACTTCTGAACTATTTCACTGCATTTGACTATTCTCTCTGCTCTGCAGTTAAGTTTTTTCTGTGTGTCTGGTGGATAGATTATATAATGGTTTGCTACTGCATGGTTCACTCCAACTCAGTGTTTAGTGATGTCTGTCGACAGCTTACTGTCAACCATAGTAGGAATATTTACATCATGGACATCAGCAAACACCACTGGCCAGGGCTTCCCTGCCGCACCTCCCAAGAGCCAGTTTTGAATATATACCTGCACATGCTGGTCTCATGTCTTTTATCTGAAAAACGAGCTGGAAACCACTTTCTATCAACTCACAGTTTAATTCCAATGGAAACAGCCAGCATAAGAGGCAAAAGGGAAAATCCTGCCAAGTTGTCATCTATGTGTGGAAGAGACCCGTGACACACTCAGATATGCAAGGCCCCGAGAAGAAAGCTGCCACTGGAAGGCGTGTGTTCTACCAACGAAGGAGAATACAAGAACAAAAACTTCAGAATGAGGACAGAAAAGCAAAGCCACCAATTCAAGCAGCCCTGTGTTCTCTTCATTTCTCCTTCCAACTTCTCCATTTCACATTATAGATTATTCCAGTTGCAGGATAAAAAATGTTTATGTAGCCCTGGTCAGGTGGCTCAATGGGTTGTAGTATCGTCCCATACACCAAAACGTGTCAGGTTCAATTCCCAGCCAGGATGCATACCAAGGCTGCAGTTTCTGTTCCCAGTTGAGATGCATACAGGAGCCAACTGATTTATGTTTTTTTTCTCTCTCTCTCTTTTTCTCCCTCTCTCTCTAAAATCAATAAACATACCCTCAGGTGAGGATTTAAAAAATTATTATGTAATAATTGTTATAGCTGCAATTAAAACAGTTGTTTGGGTCCCCCTTATATATTTAACTGACTTAAATAGCTCCCAACATTACAAAACATCCCCTTAAACAAACAAACAAAAACAGGCCAACTAACAGACATTTCCAAGAAATCTGTTATTGAAAAAGGACTCATTCTTCTGTGTCAGGGACGCATTCCTCTGT